CTATAGTGTGTCCCTGCAGTCTGTGGTCATCGCCTATAGTGTGTCCGCAGTCTCTGGTCATCTCCGGTAGGTCCGCAGTCTCTGGTCATCTCCGGTAGTAGGTCCGCAGTCTCTGGTCATCTCCGGTAGTAGTCCGCAGTCTCTGGTCATCTCCGCAGTCATCTCCGGTAGTAGGTCCTGGTCATCTCCGCAGTCTCTGGTCATCTCCGGTAGTAGGTCCGCAGTCTCTGGTCATCTCCGGTAGTAGTCTCTGGTCATCTCCGGTAGTCCGCAGTCTCTGGTCATCTCCGGTAGTAGTGTCCGCAGTCTCTGGTCATCTCCGGTATCTCCGTAGTAGTGTCCGCAGTCTCTGGTCATCTCCGGTAGTGTGTCCGCAGTCTCTGGTCATCTCCGGTAGTAGTCCGCAGTCTCTGGTCATCTCCGGTAGTAGTCCGTCCGCAGTCTCCGGTGGTCATCTCCGGTAGTGTGTCCGCAGTCTCTGGTCATCTCCGGTAGTAGTGTCCGCAGTCTCTGGTCTCTCTCATCTCCGGTAGTAGTTCCGCAGTCCGGGTCCGCAGGTCTCCGCAGTCTCTCATCTCCGGTAGTAGGTCCGCAGTCTCTGGTCATCTCCGGTAGTAGGTCCGCAGTCTCTGGTCATCTCCGGTAGTGGTCCGCAGTCTCTGGTCATCTCCGGTAGTAGGTCCGCAGTCTCTGGTCATCTCCGGTAGTAGGTCCGCAGTCTCTGGTCATCTCCGGTAGTAGGTCCGCAGTCTCTGGTCATCTCCGGTAGTAGGTCCGCAGTCTCTGGTCATCTCCGGTAGTAGGTCCGCAGTCTCTGGTCATCTCCGGTAGTAGGTCCGCAGTCTCTGGTCATCTCCGGTAGTAGGTCCGCAGTCTCTGGTCATCTCCGGTAGTAGGTCCGCAGTCTCTGGTCATCTCCGGTAGTAGGTCCGCAGTCTCTGGTCATCTCCGGTAGTAGGTCCGCAGTCTCTGGTCATCTCCGGTAGTAGGTCCGCAGTCTCTGGCAATCCTACGGATCTCAGTGAGGTGTCCTCATAGCATCTCCGGTAGTAGGTCCGCAGTCTCTGGTCATCTCCGGTAGTAGGTCCGCAGTCTCTGGTCATCTCCGGTAGTAGTGTCCGCAGTCTCTGGTCATCTCCGGTCTCTGGTCATCTCCGTAGTAGGTCCGCAGTCTCTGGTCATCTCCGGTAGTAGGTCCGCAGTCTGGTCATCGGTCATCTCCCGGTAGTAGGTCCGCAGTCTCCGGTCATCTCCGGTACTGGTGTCCGCAGTCCCGCAGTCTCTGTCATCTCCTGTACTGTGTCCGCGGTCTCTGGTCATCTCCTGTACTGTGTCCGCTCTGGTCTCTGGTCATCTCCTGTACTGTGTCCGCAGTCTCTGGTCATCTCCTGTACTGTGTCCGCGGTCTCTGGTCATCTCCTGTACTGTGTCCGCAGGGTCTCTGGTCATCTCCTGTACTGTGTCCGCGGTCTCTGGTCATCTCCTGTACTGTGTCCGCAGTCTCTGGTCATCTCCTGTACTGTGTCCGCAGTCTCTGGTCATCTCCTGTACTGTGTCCGCGGTCTCTGGTCATCTCCTGTACTGTGTCCGCAGTCTCTGGTCATCTCCTGTACTGTGTCCGCAGTCTCTGGTCATCTCCTGTACTGTGTCCCGCAGTCTCTGGTCATCTCCTGTACTGTGTCCGCAGTCTCTGGTCATCTCCTGTACTGTGTCCGCAGTCTCTGGTCATCTCCTGTACTGTGTCCGCAGTCTCTGGTCATCTCCTGTACTGTGTCCCGCAGTCATCTCCTGTACTGTGTCCGCAGTCTCTGGTCATCTCCTGTACTGTGTCCGCAGTCTCTGGTCATCTCCTGTACTGTGTCCGCAGTCTCTGGTCATCTCCTGTACTGTGTCCGCAGTCTCTGGTCATCTCCTGTACTGTGTCCGCAGTCTCTGGTCATCTCCTGTACTGTGTCCGCAGTCTCTGGTCATCTCCTGTACTGTGTCCGCAGTCTCTGGTCATCTCCTGTACTGTGTCCGCAGTCTCTGGTCATCGCCTGTACTGTGTCCGCAGTCTCTGGTCATCTCCTGTACTGTGTCCGCAGTCTCTGGTCATCGCCTGTACTGTGTCCGCAGTCTCTGGTCATCGCCTGTACTGTGTCCGCAGTCTCTGGTCATCGCCTGTACTGTGTCCGCAGTCTCTGGTCATCGCTGTACTGTACTGTGTCCGCAGTCTCTGGTCATCGCCTGTACTGTGTCCGCAGTCTCTGGTCATCTCATGTACTGTGTCCGCAGTCTCTGGTCATCTCATGTACTGTGTCCGCAGTCTCTGGTCATCTCCTGTACTGTGTCCGCAGTCTCTGGTCATCTCCTGTACTGTGTCCGCAGTCTCTGGTCATCTCCTGTACTGTGTCCGCAGTCTCTGGTCATCTCCTGTACTGTGTCTGCAGTTCAGAATATATTTTTTTATTTTCCTCCTCTAAAACCTAGGTGCGTCTTATGGTCAGGTGCATCTTAAGGAGCGAAAAATACAGTAATATACACGTATTGTGATTTTTCTTTTACCAAAGACATGTAGCAGAATACATTTAGGCCTAAATTTATGACTAACTTTGAGTTTATTGGTCTTTTATAACCAAAAGTAGAAAAAAAAAATCTATATAATTTTTTTTTTTTAATTTAGTTTTTCATTTATATCACAAAAAAATAAAAAAAACGCAGTGGTGAACAAATACCACCAAAAGAAAGCTCGATTGGTGTGAAAAAAGGATATACATTTTGTTTGGGTACAGCGTTGCATGACCGCGCAATTACCAGTTGAAATAGTGCAGTGCTGAATAGCAGAAAATGGCCTGGTCAGGAAGGGGGGTAAATCTTCTGGAAGGCAAGTTGATAAAGAAGTTAAAATCAAAGAATTGCCCCACCCCTTCCTGACCAGGCCATTTTTTGCATTACGGTGCTGTGTTACTTTAACTACAATTGCGCGGTCTTGCAAAGCTGCACCCAAATGAAATTTGCATCCTTTTTTTTTTTTTTTTTTTTTTTCCACGAATTAAGCTTTCTTTTGGTGATATTTGATTGTGTGGTTTTTTTTTTTTTGGTTTTTTTTTAATTGTGCTAAAAAAAGACCGACAAGTTTGAGAATAAAACTATTTTTGACATTTTTGCTATTAAACATGTCCAGTAAAAACATGTAAAAAATCAAATTTCGTCATAAATTTAGGCCAAAATATATTCTGCTACATGTCTTTGCTTAAAAAAAAAAAAAAAAAAAAAAATCCAATCCGTGTAAATTAATTGCTTTACGTGAAAGTTTTTAGCATTTACAAATGGCGGTATAGATACTGGAATTTTTAAATTTTTGTTTTTAATTTTTACTAGTAATGGAGGCGATCAGCGACTTATTGCAGGACTGCGGCGGGCATTCTGACACTGGGGGGAACTGATTTGGTGTTACTGACATCCCCAGTGACACCAATACAGTGATCAGTGCTATTAAAAAGCACTGATATTGTACTAATGGCACTGGGCAGGAAGGGGTTAACATCAATCAAAGGGTTAGCTGTGTGCTGGGAGTGCTTTACATAGGGGGCTGTGTCACACTGCTGTGCATAGCCATCCAAAGCAGTGTGCCCGAGCTGACAGGGAGGAGAACTGTTAGTAAACAAAACAGTTCTACTCCCCGTTGGAAATCACCAGGTGCTGGCGAGTAATCACTGACCGGGACCCGGTGATTGACAGCTGCCAGTTGCGGCGCGTGCCCCCTACCCAGAAATGCAAAATTGCGTATATATACGTGATTTTGCGTACCCGTGCCGCCCTGTAGCAGTATTCCTGCTATAGGGGCGGGGCAGAAGTGATTAAACTAAAAAAAGCAGAGATTTAAAACTACTTTAATATTACCCCTTCTCATGGGGGAGTTGCCTTAAAGTGATTAAGCGTTTTTTTTTTTTTTTTTTTTATTATTATTATATTTCTTTATAATATTTTTTTATATTATTATTCTTTAAAATAAAAAATATGCTATACTTACCTGCTCTTTGCAATGGTATTGCACAGAACCATCCTTAACCTTTTCTTATGTAGTCCCCTGCTAATGTTCTCTGATTCTCATTCCTGTAGGTGCCCCCTTGTAAGTTGTGTGCTGAGGGGGGTACCCCTGTGGGCATGCTCCCGATTTTGTTTAGTGTGCATCCATAGACACACACTGCACGTAAGCCCCTTCCCTCTCACTCCTAAATGGTGTTTGACTGACAGGAGCAGGGCTGCAGCCAGGACAGTGCTAGATCATAAGAGAAGGCAGGTAACTGTTTAGGGAATGGGGGTGGTGGGAGGGCGGGCATTGGAGAGAGACCAGTAGTGGGGAGTTTTTTTTTTACATCCAGTGTTAATGCAGAGATAAAAAAAAAACACTTTTTGACTTTAGAACCACTTTAACTCGATAATTCACAATCAAGGGCCACAGGGGTTTATTTACTAAAGCTGGCACATGCAAAATCTGGTGCAGCTCTGCACAGAAACCAATCCGCTTCCAGATTTTAATGCCAAAGCTTCATTTAACAAGCTGAAGTTAGAATCTGATTGGTTACCATGCACAGCCGCACCAGCTTTTGAGTGCTCTGGTTTTAGTAAATCCCCCCACAGTTTCATCAGAACAATAAGACATTAAAACCATAGAAACCATAAAATACCTTGATTTCAGTAATCAAAAGTGTACATCAAGCAGGTTGGTACTATTTCCTTTTCTTTCCTTCCTGAATTTGATGTCAGACAAGTGCATGTCAAATGTACCTGTCAAATAATTCAGATTGATTTTGGAAGCAACTCAGCTGTTGTCATCAACACAAGCCAAAGTCCCTCAACAAAAACTCTTGGGCTACATTCACATGGGCTTCAGAGGGGCAATACTAGCTTCCTTTTTTAGCAGCTTTCACACCCCCCTACAATTGCAGAATCTGAAAGAATGTTCTGAGCTGTCATAAAATATAAAAAAAAAAACATTTTAATTCCTTATCTTACAGATGATTACAACATAATTTATGTTAACTATTTGGAGCCATCAGTTTTGTACACCACTCAAAAAGCAATGGATAATATGCCAGAGTTGTATGACATCTTCCAAGGAGAGGTAAGCATATTAAAATTACCTTGATGTATCTCCTGCCCCCGTTTAGTCCTGATTGGCTATACTGGACAAGAAATGCTATACTGCACAGTTAAAATACTTTTTTATGAGAGACTTTAAGCCCCCGGTCACGTCAAGCCTGATTTTGAAATCGTGCGACTTACAATGAAGTCGCATGATTTCAAAGTCGGGTGATTTGCCGATTTCAGGTGCGATTTGCAAGACATCTGATACAGATGTCTATGAAAATCGCACCAAAAGTAATGCATGCACTACTTTAAAAATCGGTGCAGCTCCGACCAAGTCAATTCCTTCCTCCTATATTCCATCACACATAGAGCCCCCTCCCACATACACCTGGCATTTGCCAACACTTCCTTATTTGCTGGTGTCCATGAGGTTCGGTGTCTGAGACCACTGCTTTATGTCTTTAACTTTGCGCACCTCTCAGGCTCACCACAGATCCCTATGGAGATTAGCTCCTCAGTGGATACATCATGAAAAATCTATTGATGTTGTTCAGGATTTTTGTAATCTTAATGAGCACTCTATCTCTTGGTTGTGGTCTGGAATGCCTTCAAGACTTGCATACAAGGCCATTATCAGTGAACACACAGCTTACATGCAAAGCTTACAGAATTCTGAAAAGGCTCAGTCTGCAGCCTATGCTACCTCCCTTTCTCAAGATAATTTTAATCTACTCCTGTATATCACTAGGACAGCTTTACATAATTGCAGACACTAATTTTTTGAACAGGGTGACAAAAATGGCATGTTATTAGCTATGATGTTGCAGACTGAAGGGGGGACTATCTCGGCCCTGCTTTCCTAATATGGTTCTTTACTCACCTCTCTGAAAGGTATATTACTTGAGTTCACAAAATATTATACTAATTTGTATACATCTTTTCTCCCTGTGAATTTCTATTTCTGTAATGTTTATTTGGTTTTGACAAGTAATAAACAGGCAACTGTTTAGCCCACGCAATGACAAGCAATAACAATCATAACCAGAATAAGCACACATAAAGGCAAAGGTTGCAATACAGAGGCACTACAAAGTAGTCAGAAACTAGCATAGCAGCAGAAATACAACACGCCTCATAGGCTTCCGGAGTAGAAGATCAGGAAAGACTACCCCACAGCAGCAGGGGGCTTGCCAGGACCGCCAGCACCCACCCATACAGAGACACCGTCCAGAGCTTATTAAGATACGGGCGTGGAGCCCAAACGTAGAAGAGACAAAACTAAAAAAAAATAGGGTAGCTGGTAACAGAGTGCATACCAATAGATGAGACAGAAGGAGAGGATGGAAAGGAAAAATGTAGGGCTCAAGGGCCAGAAAGCAGAAGAGGGGAGGAAGACTAGGTCTAGGGGGCGAAAAAAACAGGATTTTCTGTCAGAGTAGGCCGAAACTGGCTGGGAAGGGTGGGGAAAGCATATGTCAGTCACTGTTCCCAGACTCTGAAAAACTTTGCTTGCGAGTCATTGCGAATACTAGACTGCTCATTGAGCATCAGGGTAGTCATACGAATTCTCACCCCTTGAAAAGGGACAGATGGCTTTTTCTATGCTTGGGATGTCATTCTGGTGGCTGACAAGAAAAGGTAGGAGGCGAGCCTCTGCTGATGAGTATATAAACCCGGTATGGGGCAATGTAGTAGAGCAAACTTGACCTCTCTGCGTATGGGTAAGTGGAATAAAGTATAGAGGAGGCCAAATACACAGGACCAGAACCCCACTAATTTAGGGCATGTCCACCAAGTATGCAAAATATCCCCTCACTGGCCACAACGCCGAAAGCAGCGGTCACTGTAGGATGGCTTTGCATGAGCAATACAGGCAGGAACTCGGTACCAAACGGAGTAGCACCTTATAAGCCTCCTCCAAGGTAGCCGTGTTAAATGAGCATTTAGGCACAGAAGACCAGGCCTTGCTTCAGTACGCTAGATCTACCTCTATTGCCAGATCCCGTTCCCATTGAGTGACATAGGAAAGGGCAGTATGGGAAGGGGAACTTGTCAGAGAAGTATAAAGGGCTAAAATAAGACCTGCAGAGCCAGGATAGTGTTGGCAGGTATGCTCAAATGCAGTTTCGGTAAGCGGAAGTCCTACGCAATGAGGTTAGCCAGTGTTGGAGTTGGAGATAGCAAAATAATTCTGATTGAGGGATATCGCGGGACTCCCGAAGAGAGGCCAGTGTGGGAAAGGACCTAGGCGGTCAAGAAGTGTCAGATGTGAGAACCCATTATCGATCCACCAGGAGAATGCCGAGGCTGATCCTTGCCAGGCAGGAAGGAAGGGTTGTTTATGATAGGGAGCAAAGGCAGAAAAGATGACATAAGGCCTCCCAAATGCTGCACGGAGACCCAGGCTTGGAGACTATGATGCATAAGCGGACTCCATGCCACAGGGCAAAAGTTGGAAGGCAGCCAGAGAAGCGCTGACATGGGGACAGGAGCGCCGTTGTGGAGTTCCAGGAGAAGCCACAGGGGAACTTCAACTGAGTCATAAAGATAGCTGAGAGATCTGAGCCACTTGATAATATTTATCTATGTTTGGCACCCTAATCCCCCTTGTAGCGTATGTACAAAAAGAGTAGCCCTAGAAACCCTAGGGCGTTTATTAGCCCAGATAAAACATAGGATCCTATTCTGGAGCAGCCGTAGAACATGCGACGGAACCTGAACGGGAAGAGTGCGAAAGCAATATAGTAGTTTAGGCAGAATGGTTATTTTAACAGAATTGATACAGCCTATTCAGGAACTGCCAAGATTGCATAAGGACAGACCGAGTTGAAAGCAGTGGATAGTAGTTGGCTGCAAATAAAGAAGAATAGGAAGCAGTCAATTGGATCCCTAGGTAGGCAATTGAGGATGATGCCCACTTGAAAGGAAAGTGGGACTATAGACATGTGACCAAGTCAGACTCCAAGGTGACATTAAGAGCCTCAGTTTTGTCTAGATTAATCCGTAGGCCTGATGTCGCCGCAGAAGTGAGAAAGAACCCACTGCAAATTGGGGAGAGTGATAAGAGGGTTACTGAGGGTCAAGAGGGCGTCATCCGTGAAAAGTTTGTCTATACTCATGGCCTGCGTAGGGAATACTTGTCACAACGTGTTCAGCCCGCAGGTTCATCACAAGTGGTTCCAGTGCTAAAATGAAGAGGGCTGGGGATAGGGGCATCCTTGTCTTGTGCCTCCGAAAATAGAGAAAGGAGCGGAAAAGAACCCAGCACATTTTACCGAAGCAGAAGGGGCCGAATACAGGGCCTGGATCAAGGTCAATATAGCCTCTCCGAACCCCCAGCGGGATAACTCAAAGTGCAGGTACTCCCAAGACAGGGAGTCGAAGGCATTGTAAATATCTAAAGAGAGTCGGAATCCGGGAATTTTCCATTGATGAAGGTGGTGTATAAGGTTGATCACCTTGCGGATGTTATCGCTAGCCTGCCGCCTGGGCGACACAGGTGTTAATGTGAAGGCTGAGTATCTTTCCCAGGATTTTCAAATCCTTATTCAGTAGGGAGTTAAGCTGAAAGGCTTGTGATTCTGACGAGTCTTCCACCTTTTTAGGGATCATGGAGATATGGGACCTCTCCCCACAAATTTTAATCCATCTGCTGCCAACACCCTTTTATATCCAGTTGTGCTGGGGTGGCTCTCCGATTCGGAATGAGAGTCCATTATGTGTTCTATCACGGCTGAGGAGATGGAGGTGGTCATTCGATCATTTCCCAGTGGCAGGGCTCCAGACTGAATTGCAATAGAGTTTTTTTACAAAACCCATGTGGAGTTTTTGGCTCCCACCCTTGCCACGGTTTATTCTGCCCAACTAGAAAATAATGCACTACCCCCTGCCTATGAAGGAAGATCATATTTTGATACATAGGGACTGATCTTTGGAATGCCTATGTGCATCATACAGGCCAATTGTCCTCCCCAATTGTGACCAACATTCTTTCCAAGCTCCTGAATAATAGGCTTAGTCACCTACTGCACTCCTAAAGATTCAGGTCAAACAGAGTTTATCCCCCATAAATCAACCAATATCAGCATCCACAGATTATCATTGTCATTTTCTCTTTAGACATAAGGAAGGCTTTTTACACCGTGAAGTGGCCCTATCTATGGGAGGTGTTGAGGATATTAGGTGGTCCAGTGCGCTTTACAACTGCTACAACTGCTCTATGATGGGCCCACTGCGACAGCCTGCCTGGGAGGATAGCTCTCCTAGTTTTTCCCACTGTTGAGGGGCATGCAGCAAGGTTGCCCCTCTCCCCCACCTTATTTTCCCTGGTCATGGAACGGATTGTAAAGACTCTGCATGTTTCCACTATTTGGGATCTGCAGGTTGGCTGGTTGGAGGAGAGGGTCGCTCTCTACGTGGACTACCTCCTGTTCTTCTTGAATGATGCTGGCCCCCCCTTATAGGGTGCTCTCCAGGTCATGCAAGAACTTTCACCGGTTTATGGTCTGAAAGTAAATTGGCATAGATCGCTTCTCTTTCCGATTTGATTCTGAGGCTTCTATCCAGGACTGGGACAGCTGCAGTTGGTAACATTGTTAACTCATTTTGGGGCAGAGGTAACTCGTAATGCAAAAATATGTATGTTGATAAGAATCTGACTCCAGTGTGGGCGGAGACTAAACTCAAGGCATGAAAAACTGCGTCGCATTAATTTGCTTAAAGTGAAAATTCTACCCAAACTCATGTACTTTTTCAGGAAATCACCAACATGGGTACTAAAATCCTTTTTTAAGTAGTTTAATCAAGTTTTACTCTCCCTTTTTGTGTGGGGTCTCAGGCTCCAAGGTACAAACTCACTATGTTGACCAAACTGACCCTACAGGGTGGTTTAGCCATACTGGATTTCTTTCAATATTTTAAATCTACCCAGTTGATTAACACCCACTGGTGGCTAGTGCCCAACTTGAATAACTCCTCTATTGTACTGAAGTGACTGTTATTGGTTTCCTGGAGGTGCTCAGAAATCTCATTTTTTAAAGAGGCCCCAAAGCCCCTTACCCACTTATGCCCCTTATGAAGAAGACCATCAAAGCCTGGTCAGTTAGCCTTTAAATGGGAAGCTTGGGTGCTCTCTATCCTCTCTCCCCACTCCCTGCTGTGGAAACACCCCACTTTGCCCCATTTTATCTCGATATCTGACCCTCACTGCTGGGCTACATTTAAAATTACAACCTTTACACACATAGTGGTTGGGAATTGCTCTCGTTCGATAACCTTTGCTACCAGTTTGGCATCCTGAGTTATTACCAGTTTTGGTATATGCAACTTTCTCATGCCTTCCATAGTCTGTTCTCACATTGACATGTATCTTTTGAGTTCTTCTTTATAAACCTTGGTATGCTCAGACCAGCTGTTGAAACCTGCTTTGTCCCACTACCAACATGTTTTTGCTACCCTATCTGATCTCTCCATTCTCTGGGAGAAATGATGGCGGGAAACACCTAAATTAGGTGATGAAGACTGGCCAGATGTCTGGGATGTACCCTCAGCTCAAGATAGACTGATTCAATAGAAGCTTCTGCACAGGGCTTTATTTATTGCAAAATCTAACCCAACCTGCAGTCATGGCCAAACATATTGGCACCCCTGCATTTGCAATTACAAATGTTTAGGCATTCTCATATTGATTTCTTTTGTTTGAGAATACACTTTTTTTTGTGTCATACCAATGCAGTTTGTGATGCTCCTGTAATTTGTAATTAAACTCACCCGTATCAATTAATAGGTGCTGACAATATAGAAATCACACCGACATCCAGTTAAAATGGTGAAAAATTGACTCAAACTTTGTTGTGTGTCTCTGTGTGCCACATGGAGAGAGAGCAGCAAAGACTTGTCTGAGGATTTGAGAACAAAAATTGTGGAAAAGCATGGACATCTCCCATGGCACTGTAGCTAATCCCTCTGGACATGGATAAAAGAGAAAAATGTATCAAAAATTGCAACAAAGGATTGTTCGAATGGTGGCTAAATAACCTTGATCAACTTCCAGACAAATTCAAGCTGACCTTCAGACACAGGGTGTGACGGAATGCGGTTCCCGACCTCTGCCCCTCTCACCAACTCGTGATCGAAGGACCAGCCGATCTCGCATCGCGCTGTCACTTGCGTAACAATGTCACTCTCAGCAGTGCCCTGCACAAAGATTTTCCAGTTCTTGGGACTACAGTCCATGTGCCAGCAGCCTGAGAGCGATTGTTACTGGGTCAGTTTAATTACGCAATTAACCCTGCACACTGCCACCCCCACCTACAGAGAAGGAAGAAACTCACAAATCTTAGCAGTAACACTATATCAGCATAAGCGTCTGTAATACGCACTTGCACCCCAGACAGATATATTCAGAGAATTATTACATACAGTAGCACTCTTCAAGAGACAGGGATTCTTTATTTTGCATTAAAAGCTTTAGAGACAGTTTCAACACTATTCAACAAATAGGATTTATTACTAAATAGGTCAAAATGGTGCAATTAAAATATTTACAGAAAAAGATGTAACAAAGATATAAAGAGAACAATAAAACAACAGAGAAATAAAAGAAAGGAGTTCAGAAGGCACAATACTTGCAATGTCCTGGTTTTAGCAGAGTCCAATTGTCCGAACAAAAATGTCTCACGTGGAATGTATGTTTTATGGCAAGCTCTAGCACTAATGGCCTAACAGGTCATGACTGACAGGAGTTATTGTTTTACGATCCTGCAGAGGAAAGTGGTTTCAAAGAAGACCCCTTGAACCAGACTAATTAGCTGTTTACAGCCCTGGAGCTTTATCTAGCTGTGTTTTATTTAGAATAAGAGTCCCTTTTTGACCTCCATTCAACTTACAGCTATACATTCCATTCAAAAGGGAGGAGGGAGGACAGGAGAGAACATGGCTGAGACCTAACAAGATGGCTGTCACATACAGCATCCATGTCTTTATTGTGTACAATCGTCACACAGGGTACAACTGTGTCAACTTGCACTATATGTTGCCATCTGAATGAAGAGGGATGCTATGGTAGGAGACCCAGGAGGACCCCATTGCTGGCACAAACATAAAAAAGCCAGATTGGAGTTTGCCAAAACTTACCTGAGGGAGCCAAAATCTTTTTGGGAGATGGACACACGAAACAAAATTACAGCTTTTTGGTAAAGCCCATCATTCTACCATTTTCAGAAAAAGCAAAGAGGCCTTTAAAGAAAAGAATACAGTCCCTACAGTCAAACATGGTGAAGGTTCGTTGACATTTTGGGGTTTCTTTGCTGCTTCATGTCTTGACTGTGTGCATGGCATTATGAAAGCGGAAGACTACCAAAGAATTCTGGGGTGCCATGTAGGGCCCAGTGTCAGTTGCATCTCCATTAGAGGTCATGGGTCTTACAGCAGGACAATGACCCAACGCACCCAGAAATGGTTTCAGACAAAGCGCTGGTGAGTACTGAACTGGCCAACAATGAGTCCAGATATCAATCCCAAAGACCACCTGTGAAGAGATCTCAAACCAGCAGTTGGGAAAAGGAACCCTTCCAATCTGAGACCTGGAGCAGTTGGCGAAAGAAAAGTGGTGCAAAATTCCAGAGAGGTGTAAGAAACGCATTGATCGTTACAAGAAGCTATTGATTTCGGTTGTTTTTTCCAGAGGGTGCCAATAATTTTGTCCTGTCCATTTTTGGGGTTTGGCGTGGAATATGTCAGATTTGACCTGTTTTGATTCTCCACCTTTTGTATCATACTAAAAGAAATAAACATGAGAATGCCTAAACACTGGTAATTGCTACAATTTTCTGGGAAAAGTGGTGCATTATCTGATAGAAATGCAGGGGTGCCAATATTTTTGGCCATGACTGTAGGTTGGGTTAGATTTTGCAAAAAAGTTACCAAGCTAATTTAGTGTATCTAAACCCACAACCAAAAATAAAATAAATTACAGATTACTAGTGCTTGGTGTGGTGGCTGCATTAGTTTTTATTTTTTATATTAATATAATTTTTCCTAGTAATCCTGCAAATAACACTTCCTCCACCTGGGTGGCTACATCACTCCTCTATTGTATCTATGGAGGTAACCATGGTTGTCACCCTAGGCTGCTCTCCTGATAAGGCGTATAAACATCTGTGTATCTATTGCCTGGTGATAGAAATATTGCCTGGTGAAATGAAGATGGTTAGAAAGGAAGATAATCTTCAGTGCAACTCACAGGAAATGACAAGGCCACGGCATTTTCACCAAGATCAACAAATATTTTCTGCATTTGCTGAAAATCTTTTCCCTTGAAAGAGAGAGAACTGCTGCAACCACCACATCTAAGTACTGTAGGCTGAAATATATTTAATTTTTGTTCTTGGGATTTAGTTATCCTTTTAAGTAGGACTGTTCAACCTCTTACATGCTTTGAACCTGCATTGTTGTTCTGCTTGCAAGTACTTACTGCAGACCCAGACTTAGGATGTGTTAATCAATTAATGTTTTATAGTCACAATGATGATTGTGCATGATTTAAGGCACCTGCTTCTGGTACTGTGGCTAAGGAGGCATTCAATACTTCAGATATCCCACAGTTAGTGCATTCATTTTAATGCAACTGAAAGACGTAGAGGGTAGGGGGACTATAATGGTTTTGGGGGTGTGTTTATTAATCCCTCTATGATTAACCCCTACATGGGTGAAATATGTTAGAAGAGCTTTCCTGATGGATGGAAGCCATTTTGCAATAATTTTGTTTTTTGATTCACTATATTGGTTTGCGGTCCTGGGAAACATTTGTAACATTTTAATACAGGCTACACATGACACTATGGGGGAGATTTACTAAAACTGGAGCATGCAAAAGTTACTACAGCTCTGTATAGAAATCAGCTTCCAGGTTTTATTGTCCAAAGCTTAATTGAACAAGCTGAAGTTAGAAGCTGATTGTCTACCATGCACAGCTGCACCAGATTGAGTGTTCCAGGTTTAGTAAATTTCCCCCAATGGGTTTCTGTTAACGGGATTGGGAGAAACTGTAAAATGTGTAAATAGGAACCTGCAGCTTTACATGATGGCTGGATATGAAAATAATTTTTTTTTTTCTGTATGCAGAATTTTATATTTTACAGTATGTAAATGTTTTTTAATAAACTAATCTCTTTTCTGTAGGTTGCAAATGTCACAGATTATGGAGCATTTATTAAAATTCCAGGTTGCACAAAACAAGGTGAGGCTCACTGCTGAAAATACCTTTTATTCATACATACAGGTGAAACTCGAAAAATTAGAATAAAGTGCAAAAGTTCATTTATTTCAGTAATGCAACTTAAAAGGTGAAACTATATATGAGATAGACTCATTACATGCAAAGCAAGATAGTTCAAGCCATGATTTGTCATAATTGTGATGATTATGGCTTACAGCTCATGAAAACCCCAAATCCACAATCTCAGAAAATTAGAATATTACATGCAATCAGTAAAACAAGGATTGTACGCAGAACAATATCGGACTTCTGAATAGTATAAGCATGCATATGTACTCAGTACTTGGTGTGGGCCCCTTTTGCAGCAATTACTGCCTCAATGTGGCGTGGCATGGAAGCTATCAGCCTGTGGCACTGCTGAGGTGTTATGGAAGACCAGGATGCTTCAATAGCGGCCTTCAGCTCTTCTGCATTGTTCGGTCTCATGTCTCTCATCTTTCTCTTGGCAATGCCCCATAGATTCTCTATGGGGTTCAGGTCAGGCGAGTTTTCTGGCCAATCAAGCACAGTAATCCCATGGTCATTGAACCAGGTTTTGGTGCTTTTTGCAGTGTGGGCAGGTGCCATGTCCTGCTGGAAAATGAAGTCCGCATCTCCATAAAGCTCATCTACGGAAGGAAGCATGAAGTGCTCCAAAATCTCCTGATAGACGGCTGCGTTGACCCTGGACTTAATGAAGCACTTTAGCAGATGATATGGCTCCCCAAATCAACACAAACTGTGGAAACTTCACACTGGACTTCAAGCATCTTGCAGTGTGTGCCTCTCCATTCTTCCTCCATACTCTGGGTCCTTGGTTTCCAAATGAGATGCAAAAGTTGCTCTCATCAGAAAAGAGGACTTTGGACCACTGAGCAACAGACCAGGTCTGTTTTTCTTTAGTCCAGGTAAGACGCTTCTGACATTTTTTGTTGTTCAGGAATGGCTTGATAAGAGGAATACGACATTTGAAGCCCATGTCCAGGATCCGTCTGTGTGTGGTGGCTCTTGATGCACTGACTCCAGCCTCAGTCCACTCCTTGTGAAAGTCCCCAACACTTTTGAATGGCCTTTTTCCTGACAATCATCTCCAGGCTGCGGTCATCCCTGCTGCTTGTGCAACTTTTTCTTCCACACTTTTCCCTTCCACATAACTTTCTATTAAAGTGCTTTGATACAGCACTTTGGGAACATCCAACTTCTTTTGCAATTACCTTTTTGAGGCTCTCCCTCCTTATGGAGGGTGTCAATGATGGTTTTCTGCACAACTGTCAGGTCAGCAGTCTTTCCTATGATTGTGATTCCTACTGAACCAGACTGAGAGACCATTTAAAGGCTCAGGAACCCTTTTCAGGTGTTATGGCTTAATTAGCTGATTAGAGTGGGACACTTTGAACCGAGAATATTGCACCTTTTCACAATATTCTAATTTTCTGAGATTGTGGATTTGGGGTTTTCATGAGCTGAAAGCCATAATCATCACAATTATGACAAATCACGGCTTGAACTATCTTGCTTTGCATGTATTGAGTCTATCTCATATATTAGTTTCACCTTTTAAGTTACATTACTGAAATAAATTAACTTTTGCATACTATTCTAATTTTTTGAGTTTCACCTGTATGTACAAAAAAAATAATAAATTACTTTTGTTTTTCTTGCTCATTTATCAGGCCTTGTCCACAGAACACACATGTCATCTTCTCATGTTGACCGTCCTTCAGAAGTAGTAGACGTCGGTGAGAGAGTGTGGGTGAAGGTTATTGGTAACGAGGTATTACATTTTAATGTTATGCATGCAAAGTTCATTCTCTGTGAAGGTGGAGGTGAGCAGTAATGGCAAGGCCTCACTTAGCAATGTCCTGGGAGTATTCCAGTCAGGCTTCATGAGGTACATAAATGGCCTACACCTATAGAAAGGACATTACTCGACTTTAGTCAGAGCTGTCTAGTTTGTTTTTATCTACAGACACGTCTTATTTGCATAGGCAGCTTTTTGGTAAAAGTAAACTAACCCTTTTTCATTTATTTATTTGTATATTTTTTTTGGTAGCTTACATTTGAGCATACAAAGTGCTTCTATGCATGCTAACTGGAATAGGTTTAGGTTAGCCTTTATGATAAAGTTAGCAGCTGACAAGAGCAGACCTGCCAAAAAAGACGGTATATTACGAATCCTATGCGGAGTAAATATTCACTATTATAGTGGATGCAAATATTTTATTGAGATCAATTAGATCATGAAAAGGTAGACATTGGAATTGGAATCGGGGAAATGCTTGTTGATGGGTGGATACACCCCTATTCATGGCACTTTTTTTCTTTTTTGTATTAAGTCAGCCTTTCCATAAAGTTCTTTCTTCATGTACTCTTTCGTTTAAAACTGAGCACTTTCCAAAATGTACCTTTTGCATTTATATCAAATTGAGTAAGTGGGGAAATCTGTCAGTATTGGTCTGATTTCATTATGTACTATTGGACAGAATGCAAAAATTGAGCCACAAATTAAAAATTATTCTTGGAAGTTGGTCATGGGCACCCATATGATTTTCTTTTCCATTGTCTGCAATTTAAAGCCAGAAAAGTATTTGATAATGTCAAATTCCAAACTGTTGCTGACTTGTTATTTCAGGTAAAAGATGGGAAGCAGAAAATCTCCTTATCCATGAAGGTTGTACACCAAGGAACAGGGAAAGATATAGATCCAAACAATGTGGTGTTGGAGTAAGTGATTGGATTGTTCAACAGAAATGGAGTTACTGAAATGGAGAACATTTACTACATTCTTCTGTTTCTGTTAGACAGGATGCACGAAAGAGACGAGAGTTTAAGGACTACAGCAAGCAGAAGATAACACTGGAGGCTGTATTGAACACTGTGTGTAATAAGTGTGGATGTAAAGGTTGGTCGTTTCAAATTCTCATTCTCTACTACAACAGCAATCCTAATGTGTATTACATTTTTCTCATACCAGTTTTATCCATGTGGGTAAATGCATTCTTCAGCTTAAAAGGAATCCTTTTCTGAAGAAATATAGAGACTGCCATTGCTGACCTCTCATTTTGTATGGTGTATGTAAACCATAACCGTGAACTTTCTTATTTGCTCCCCTTAGGTCTGCTAAATCAATCATTGTTGTACCTGTATGATAAGTGGGGGGAAAAAAAGTGGTGGTGTGGTGGGGGGTGTTTTGAAGAGAGGACTGTGTATTTTTTAATTCATCAGAAATGAAGTAGGCAGGTGTGGGTGTGTAGGTGTGTGGTGTCTCTAGGGTATTTTGACTGATGTGAAGAAGAACAAACTTTTTTAGTTTTTTCAGAATCTTGATAAGTCCTATTTGGATCCTGAAGCACAGAGGCTTTGTAAATCTTCCGGCAGGCTATAGCCTCCATTGCTAGGTCCACATCATCACATTAACTGGTAATCAGTTAATGTGTCATCTACATGTCGGCATGCAGTACTGCCTCTGCAGATCCTGTTGAGCCACACCAGAGCTCCGTTCAGCGGTACTTACTCCGTACAGCCTCCTCTGAAACCCGGGCCATCAGGGACGAGATGGCGCCTGGTCGCACACCGACCAAGCCGCAGCCTGCCTCAGCACCCGCCCAACTGTCAGTGCCACCTCCCTAGCCCCACCACTCGCTTGGTCCGAGTCGTCTGCTGGAGTTGGAGACAACATTCCACCCCTGCACGCACCTCAGTGTGCTGGCATCCTGCTGCTTGCGAGCTCAGACACCGGGGAGTCACCTGGCTCATGGACCACAGCCCTCCTATCTGCTTTCTGGGCAGACTTTGACTCTCTTCTAAGCTGGAATCCTCTCTCCACCAGGAGTTAGAGGCTCTAAAAACAAAGGTATTGGCCTCCGCTTCTGCCATTTCAGCCCTGACTGCCACCCTGGATGACCACACTTTGCAGATCCGGGCCCTGGAATTAGCCTCCTCCTCATATCTTACACATCTTCGCCAACATCAACTTCGTATAGAAGATAGAAGCCGCAGAAACAACATAAGGATACAGGGGATCCCTGAAGCAACTTTGGGATCGGATCTGAAACCTACTGTCACCGCTATCCTGAACTAGGTATTGGGCAGAGAAGCTACATCACCTATAGAACTAGATCAGGTTCATAGAGTGGGGGGGCCCTTTCATTAACCAGATGGACCGTCTAAGAGATGTCCTATGTCAGGTACATTATTATACCTTGAAAGAGGACATTATGCGCAAGGCCTGGCGGTCAGGCCCGGTGGATTTTGATGGCTCCTTACTTCATCTATGCCCAGATTTATCCAGACCCACTCTTTACATGAGAAGAGTTGTCAGACCTTTATTGGATCTCATACGTCAAGCAGGGGGTGCTTACACTTGGGGACACCCATTTAGTATTTGGGTCACCCGTGGTGACCGTAAATTTCTGCTCACTGACCCCGATCAACTGTCTGACTTTTTTCTGGTTCCGGAACAAGATCTAGTGGACATCCTCAACTGGCTGGACCCTCCAGACAACCGACGTCGCCTTCCCGGATCGACCTCTCTGCCACAGTTCCGGCGGCGCCCAAGATCCCGAGCTCGCTCTGCTGAAGTCATTCCCTCCTTACCTGGGACACCTGAGGACTGCGTTGCCTTCTTGCAGCGAGCCATGACCTCCACCTTTTTACATATTCCCTTTATTTTTTATTTAATTTTAATTTTTTCCCTTTAATTTTTCTCACATAAGTTGTTTGGAAGTATTTGGGGTTGGCCCCGTACAGGCCTTTTTCACCAATGTATATTTGCCTTGGGCAGGGGGCGGCTTTTATTGATGTCACTGTCTAGCCTATTGGTACTACCCCCACTCTGCCCACAACCTTTGGGAACCTTTTACTGCCCTATACCTCGGGGTCTTATTGGCATATTCAAGGCTTTGGACATCTTTAGACCACTGGGCCCCAATGTTGAGTCAACTGTGGTCACCCCCTATTTAATACTCTCGGGGATATCATTGCGGGAGACCTGCCCGGGGACACCTAGGGATGCTATTATCCCCCCTTCGCTGTTCATTTGTATCGGCGGCCCTGTATTACGTATCTAGAGCACCTTTCCCTGTACCCTACAGGTCTGCTCAGTTGACTGGTTTAGTTTTTTTGTACTGTTTTTTATTTATGCTCATCCTATGTTTTTTGAATTTTTGTGGCTTCATGTGTAACACCATATATATGTTTCCGTTTTTTCTGGTGCTTCACTATGTTCTCTTACAGGTATTAGGTCCTACATGCAATACATGCCCGTCATGGAGTTGGGAACACATCTCAGATTATCCTGACTTGACCCCTCCTCCGTAGGATAGGATAGGTGATATTTACAGTGTCCTGTATTGCAGGCACTTTAGTTACCCCTGTGACATCTCTATTAAGTGTCCATTTCTTTTCTGACTCCTCCCCACTCCCCCCACCTCCTTACCTTCTTCCACAGTTTGTCTTCCCTCTCCTCCTTACCCTGCCTCTACCCTACCCTACCCCTTCCCTACCCTTTTTCTTTTTTCTTTCTCTCTCCTCTTCTTCTTTTCTTTCTCTCCTCTTCTTCTTCTTCCTCCCTCCTCCTCCCCTCCCCCTTCCTCTTCCCTCCTCCCCTCCCCCCCCTTCCTCTTCCCTCCTCCCCTCCCCCTTCCTCTTCCCTCCTCCCCTCCCCCTTCCTCTTCCCTCCTCCCCTCCCCCTTCCTCTTCCCTCCTCCCCTCCCCCTTCCTCTTCCCTCCTCCCCTCCCCTTTTCCTCTTCCCTCCTCCCCTCCCTTTTCCTCTTCCCTCCTCCCCTCCCCTTTTCCTCTTCCCTCCTCCCCTCCCCTTTCCTCTTCCCTCCTCCCCTCTCCCCTTCCTCTTCCCTCCTCCCCTCCCCCTTCCTCTTCCCTCCTCCCCTCCCCCTTCCTCTTCCCTCCTCCCCTCCCCCTTCCTCTTCCCTCCTCCCCTCCCCCTTCCTCTTCCCTCCTCCCCTCCCCCTTCCTCTTCCCTCCTCCCCTCCCCCCCCCTCTTCCCTCCTCCCCTCCCCCTTCCTCTTCCCTCCTCCCCTCCCCCTTCCTCTTCCCTCTCGTCCCTCCCCTTCCTCCTCTTTCTCGTCTTCTTCTTCTTCCTCCTCTTCTTCTTCTTCCTCTTCTACCTTGGCACACACTCTGGTATCCCACCCCACATTAAAATTTTGTGCTCAAAAGTTTGCATACCCTGGCAGAAATTGTGAAATTTTGGCATTGTTATTGAAAATATGACTGATCATGCCACAAAATGCTCTTTTATTGAAGGATGATGATCATATGAAGCCATTTCTTATCAAATAGTTGTTTGGCTCCTTTTTAAATCATAATGATAACAGAAATCACCCAAATGGCCATGATCAAAAGTTTACATACCCTGGAATGTTTGGCCTTGGTACAGACATACAAGGTGACAAACACAGGTTAAAATGCCAATTGGAGGTTAATGTCCCACATCTGTGGCTTTTTAAAGTGTCAGTGTATAAATAGCCAATGAGTTTTTTAGCTCTTATGTGGAAGAACGGACTAGGCTAGATACTGAGCCATGGGGATCAGAAAAGAACAGTCAAAAGTCCTGCGTAACAAGGTAATGGAACTTTATAAAGATGGAAAAGGACATAAAAAGATGTCCAAAGCCTTGAATATGCCAAACAGTACTGTTAAATCACTTATTAAGAAGTGGAAAGTTTGGGGATCTCTTGATACCAAGCCAAGGTCAGATAGACCAAGAAAGATTGCAGCCATAACTGACAGAAGAATTGTCCAGGATTCAAACAAAAACCCACAGGCAACCTCAAAAGAAATACCGGGTGCTCTGGAAAAAGACAGTGTGGTTGTTTTGAAGGAGCACAATATGATGACACTTGAACAAAAATGAGCTGCATGGTCGAGTTGCCAGAAAGAAGCTTTTACTGCATCAAGGACTGGTTAGGTATGGCCAGGTGTTGTCGGGCATATGGTAACCGGGCTTTTTTGTGGCATTGGTGCAGTAAAAGCTTCTTTCTGGCACCTCGACCAAACAGCTCATTTTTGTTCAAGTGTAACCGTATTGTACTCCTTAAAAACAACTACACCATCTTTTTCCAGAGCAGCTTGTATTTCTTTTGAGGTTGCCTGTGGGTTATGGGCTAATTTCAAAGTGGCATCAGGGGATCTTCAATGCATATCCTCATCTTTCCCTTTCAAAACTGGATCTTCTCATATTCGTTGTCTGGGCATTCACATACCCATGGATTTGTCCCAACTTTATTCATTGAATTTTGTGCCCCTCCTCAGCCAGACTCAGGTTGATCTTTTTTCCTACACTGGTAAGACTCTGTCCTGGTTGGGCAGAGTGAATACTTTAAAGATGAATGTGCTGCCCTGTTTCTTATACCTCTTTCAAACACTTCCTATATCCCTACCTAACTCAGTCTTCTTTAAATTGCATCACCTTTTCTCCACCTTCATGTGGAAATCACACTGTCCTAGGATTTGTTTGAGTACCCTTTCCCTCCTGAAAATTAAGGATGGAGTGGGAGCCCCCGATACCTCTCTTTACCATAAGGCAGCTATGCTTGTTCAAATCCTCGATTGGTTCCACAATCATTCCTCTGAACTTGAGTCCAGTTGGAACAACACATGTGCCCCCATGATCTTGAAGCTTTGCCATGGACAACACGTTTATACTGCCCCACTCTTTCTACCCTTCGCATATGGGAATGTGGAATGTCTTCATACTGCCTCTCCAAATCTGTCAGGCCCATGACTCCGTTTTTTGGGACCCTGGATTTTCCCCCGGCCCTCTCTGCCCCCTCTTTAGCTATCTGGAATAACTGTGATCACAGGATATTGGCCCAGGTCCTTCGCTCTGACCCTTCCTTACTTTTGACGGCCCCCCATGCCTCCTCCCCTCCATTTTCGTTCTCCTGGTTTCAGTGACGACAGGTGATGTTTATTCGTTCTTTCTATGTTCGTTCTTTTCCCTCGGTCTCCGACGTTCTCGTCCCGCCGACTGGCTTTGAACAACTCCTGCTTCAATCTGACCATCCCATCCATGTAGTTTCCCAATTGTGTTCGATCCTTCTTTGTGCATCGTCCCTCAACCTTCCTTCTTATACCCGTGCCTGGGAAACAGATCTACAACTTACCATCTCCCCAATAGATTGGGAAAAATGCTTCATCTTGACTAATGCGTTGTCTGTAGCTTTCAAAACTCAGGAAAAAGGCTTCAAACTGCTCACCAGATGGTATAGATGCCCAACATTTCTCCACTGTTTTGACTCTTCAATCCCCGACATTTGCTGGCGTTGTCAACGCTCACGGGGTACTATTCTTCATATTTGGTGGTCTTGTCCGCCTATCCAGAAATTTTGGCAATCTATTTTTGTCCTGTATAATAAACTGATGACAACATGGGTCACTCCATCCCCAGACCTGGCACTTCTTTTCCTACTGCCTGGATCTATTAAATCAGTGAAACGGGATATCTTGAGACACCTGGTGGCTGCTGCCTGGACAGTTATCCCACGCCATTGGAAGTCCACTTCTGTGCCTTCCTTGAGAGATTGGGTTAGTGATTTGGACTCTATCCATGACCTTGAACGCCTGTTGGCGCGGGAATCTGAGAAAACAGATCTGTTCTCCTCTATCTGGACCCCTTGGACCTTGGATTGTTTCTGATCAGTCCCTTTTCTTCTCTTACTTTTCCTTTCCTCGTCTTTCCTTTTTATTTTTTTTCCCTTATTTTGTGATATATCATTTTCCAGACAACATTTTCTTTTATTTTCCTACTGTTATTGCATACATTCTGAGATCTGTTCCCATACCAGACAACTCCGGTTTCCTAAGCTATGGATCTCGGGGCTGCGATATTGTTAACACTATTCTCAGTTTGAATATTACACATTGTTATTCTTTTATGCCAACCTGCCTCATTGTATTATATTTATGTTATACTAATTTCTGTAATTATTGATACATGCCGATTGGTGCTTGCCACTTAATCCTATACATTTTCTCTTACTGTACTTATCCTTTTTGTTATTATCTGTCTCATTGGAAACTCTATAAACTTAGATTGAAAAGAAAAATCAGAACAGGCCCTTCTTGATGCTTTTGATCTGGGTATAATGGAAAGGAAGGCTGCTTCCAGGGTCTCCAGCCATGCATGACATACTTCTTTTCTTTTTTTTTTCCTACTTCTTATTAGTTAGCCAGTGTAGATTAAAATGCTGTCTGCTGGAGAATATGGGGATATGTGACCAAGATGATATTTTAAAGCTTCCTAGTACTACCAAGTTCACATACAGAAGTTTGAGAATAGGCTAGGTCTGCCAGGTAAGTAAGGACCTCTAGTTGTAGATGAGTTAAATAAATGTTTTTATTAAGTGCATTAATAATCCTTACCAGTACCGACCTTGGCAAAGTAGGTTTTGTTCTCTTGCAGAGCTACACCTGTTGCTAAAATCTGAAGCATCCTATACTTCTGGGTGTGTGACAGCTGCGGGTGGAACTATATAGCACAGCAGGGATATACAGGATTCATATTCCTGCTGGGTGCGATTAATGTACTTGTTTTTTTTATTACTTGCATCTTACAAAATCCAAAGACATTTTTTTACATAATCTACAATTTATTAAAAATTTTCCAAACCCATTACCACCCCCCCTCCCATCCCCCCATGACCTCCCTTTTCCAGTTCTTATTATTCCTCTAGTGTTCCATCTGTACACCTTAATTTCTCCTGTGACCTATTATCTCTTTCCCTCTACTCATTTTCCCTTTCTCTTTATTCTTCTACACCATCAACTCAGCAAACCTCTTTGTAAATTTAAATTCACACCATCTTTTCCAGATCTTTCTGAATTTACCCATGTTATCTTCTCCACTATAATATAATTTTCCTTTCTTTGTATAAATTCTACCCTCTTTATTCAATCTTTTAACTTAGGGGTCACTTGGACCTTCCAAAACGTAGGGATCAACCCTTTTGCCGCATTGATTAAATGAGGTATCATTGTATTCTTATACTGTTTTACTGTTAGGTCAGTGCTATAATTTCTCCTTTGTTGAGCTACTTCCTGCCAAAATTCCTGTATTTTGGGACACTCCCACGATAAATGCACCATTGTGCCCTCCTTTCCACATACCCTCCAGCAAAGCGGTGAATTCTCTGAATGTAACTTATGGGCTCTAGTGAGTGTAACATGCCATGTTGCTATAAATGTATAGTTCATCTCCACTGTGTTCATATCCACAACCCCATGTGCAATCCTAAAAATTTTCTTTCTCTGCGATTAATGTACTTTAACACCTATTTGGATGCTACTATTAATGTACTTTACAAGACTGCTTTTTCTTTGTTTGGGCACATTCCCCCACTTAACAATTCTTACACTTACTAGGATTTTAATGGTCTAAATGTTGCAGATTTCCACTGCTAGTGAAATACAGGGTTATAGCTCTTGTTAGAAATATTGAAATTTAATTCAAGGATGTAGAACTTGCACTGATTTACAAGTTGCATGCTCATTCCAGGGTATAGAAGCACCTATAGCATCAGACTGCGGTGCCTCCAAAAACGCAGGTATTTTAGTTTGATGATAGTTGTATATTTTATATACTTTACTAATTTTGTTTGAAAATGGCTGACCTATACACCTGAAACTGAATAATTTAAAAATAATAGTGTACTTCCTATTTTAGGACATTTTGCGAAAGACTGTTTCATGCAACCTGGAGGAACAAAATACAGTTTAGTACCGGAAGAAGATGAGGATAAGGAAGATAAAACAAACTCTGAGAAGACTGCTAAGAAAAAAAAGAAGGTAGTAGATGTTCAATATCAGTACAGATCTTTTAGTAAGGGGAGACTCCCCACTACAAAAAGAGAAAAATAATCTAATGGGTATTTCACATGGGTTTTCTGATAAGGTCTGACTGTCAGTACTTCAGGTAGACCTGATCGGAAGCTCTGTCCAAGTCTGTAGGCAAGTGGATGTAGAAAGATGTATATATTTTATATCTGCTTACCTCAATATATTGGGGTCCAGAAAAACGTGAGGGATCATAGGCAGCCTGATGTAAATGAACATAAGTTCATTTACATCTGGCAGCCCAGATAAACAGCCACTGTCAAAATTCAGACCAAAAACTGAATGGACACAGATTTCACTGAAATTGTTATCAAACACATTACCCTACATTAAAAAAAAAAAAAAAAAAAAAAACTGCATTCACTATGTGGTCTCCCACAGTACACAACATGGTAATGCAATTATTTCAGTAAATATAAACTGCTAAATACCTTCTCTCATCAGAAGTTAAAGCAGTCTTGTGACTTCTATCAGTGTCCAGCAGAGCACTGGTTAAAGCTTTTAGGAGGAGTTTGCATTCTCCCCTGATTGTCCATTGAGGCTGCAGGACCCCTGACCCTCTGGACAGCGCTGATTGGCCCTGTGCTGATCATATGCACCATCCCAAAGAAAACTGTAGCGATACACACCAAACTGAGCATGTGTAGCTTGCCCCCAGGCTATGTTCTATCAGCAGCTGGATTGGGAACTGTGGAAGAAGGTGAGGATCAAACATCCTTTTTATACAATGCAGAGGATTAACCCTTTTGGTTCCACATTGAGTATAACAAGCATGCTTTCTGCATAAAAGGACTGATTTTACTACTGTGGGTTTAGTAACACTTGTAGTGGTATCCATCCCGTTCTGCTCAAAACAAGCATGGGAGTATGCCTGTGTAAAAGGACCATAAGCTTGATTTAGCTTTGTTTCAGATTGTACAATGAACTCCTAATACCAAACAAAAAACAGGTATCAGATGGTGGGTGTGGGTTTTTTTTTTTGTTTTTCATATTTTCATACTTCCAAGAAAGGAAGCTGAGTATACAGTGCCTTGAAAAAGTATTCATACCCTTGAAATTTTCCCCATTTTGGCATGTTAGAACCAAAAACATAAATGTATTTTATTGGGCTTTTATGTGATAGACCACCACAAAGTGGCACATAATTGTGAAGTGGAAGGAAAATGATAAATGGGTTTTCAAAATTTTTTTTTTTTGTTTTACAAATATCTGAAAAGTGTGGCATGCATTTGTATTCAGCCCCCTTTACTCTGATACCCCAAACTAAAATCTAGGGAACCAATTGCCTTCAGAAGTCACCTAATTAGTAAATAGAGTTCATCTGTGTGTCATTTCATCTCAGTATAAATACAGGTGTTCTGTGAAGACCTCAGAGGTTTGTTAGAGAACATTAGTGAAAAAACAGCATAATGAAGGCCAAGGAACACACCAGACAGGTCGGGGATAAAATTGTGGAGACGTTTAAAACAGGGTTAGGTTATTTAAAAAAGAAAAAATCTCAAGCTTTGAACGTCTCACGGAGCACTGTTCAATCCATCATCCGAAAAATGGAAAGAGTATGGCACAACTGCAAACCTACCAAGACATGGCCGTCCACCTAAACTGACAGGCCAGGCAAGGAGAGCATTAATCAGAGAAGCAGCCATGGTAAGTCTGGAGGAGCTGCAGAGATCCACAGCTCAGGTTGGAGAATCTGTCCATAGGACAACTATGAGTCGTGTCGTGCACTCCACAAATCTGGCCTTTATGGAAGAGTGGCAAGAAGAAAGCCATTGTTGAAAGAAAGCCATAAGAAATCCTATTTGCAGTTTGCTAGAAGCCATATGAGGGACACAGCAAACATGTGGAAGAAGGCGCTCTAGTCAGATAAGACCAAAACTGAACCTTTTGGCCTAAAAGCAAATTCTTTGTGTGGTGGAAAACTAACACTGCACATCACCTTGAACACACCATCCCCAACATGAAACATGGTGGTGGCAGCATCATGTTGTGGGGATGCTTTTCTTCAGCAGGGACAGGGAAGCTGGTCAGAATTGATGGGAAGATGGATGGAGCCAAATACAGGGCAATCTTAGAAGAAAACCTGTTAGGAGTCTGCAAAAGACTTGAGACTGGGGTGGAAGTTCACCTTCCAGGAGGACAATGACCCTAAACATAGAGCCAGAGCTACAATAGGATGGTTTAGATCAAAGTATGTTCATGTGTTAGAATGGCCCGGTCAAAGTCCAGACCTAAATCCAATTGAGAATCTGTGGCAAGACTTGAAAATTGCTGTTCACAAACGCTCTCCATCAAATCTGACAGAGCTTGAACTATTTTGCAAAGAAGAATGGGCAAAAATGTCCCTCTCTAGATGTACAAAGCTGGTAGAGACATCCCCAAAAAGACGTGCAGCTTTAATTGCAGCAAAAGGTGGTTCTACAAAGTATTGACTTGGGGGCTGAATACAAATGCACGCCACACTTTTCACAGATTTATTTGTAAAAAATTCTGATAACCATTTATCATTTTCCTTCCACTTCACAATTATGTGCCACTTTGTGTTGGTCTATCACATAAAATCCCAATAAAATACATTTACATTTTTGGTTGTAACATGACAAAATGTGGAAAATTTTCAAGGGGTATGAATACTTTCAAGACACTGTAAAGGCTGACTGATTTATGAATATATAGAGGGTTAGAGGAAAGTCTGCTAAGGTGAATCGAGTCTATGGTTTTCATACACTGCTGAAATGCACTAGAGCCTTCTTAATTGCAGCTCAACAATACTGTTTTTATGTCTCATTTATTCTGGAGTTCAGTCCTGTCAATTAAAGTGGAAGTCCAGACTTTTCCTAACTCTGCTTAAATCTGCTCCCACCCCCATTCAAACTCCTATTCTAACTACTCTGTCAAAGGAAGATGTGATACTTTCCTATTTTGAGGGAGTTCCAGTCATGTGATCTCCCCAGTGGCCGGCTTGAGGGGAGAGGAGGGACAGCTGACAATAAATGCTGACAAATATGGGTGAGATACCTGCACAGGCATTTCAGCCATTGTCAGTGATCTCCCCTCTCCTCTGAAGCTGGTTGCTGGGGGAGGGGTTGGGGGAATCACGTGACCAGATTGGAGAGCCCTCAGAATAGGCAAGTATACACATGTTCCTTGCACAGGGTAGTTAGAATAGGAGTTAGAATGGGAGTGGAAGCATGTTTTAAGCATAATTTGGAATAGCTTTCCACTTTAAGGGGCAGAAGTTTTTTTTAATTTTAATGCTATTGCACATGTACCCATGAGGACCTGTGATATAACATTTTTTTTAGAGTAGCACCCAGATTAATCAGTTGCCACCCGGCCTATAGCCAGATGGCGGCTGGGCGAACAGCTCGTACCACCGGGTGGATGCCACATGGCGTCCTTTCAGGAACGCGCACTATGCATGCCCGCAGGGCCGTGCTGCAGTGTGATCTGTCACCGGCTATGTACCTTGGACCAGTGTGTCTAGCTGTGAATGGTCACAGCGATCACATGCACAAGCTGGGCCAATCACAGCCCAGCTGTCATGTGATTGGCCTTGGCCAAATCACAGCTAAGCACAAAAAAAATAACCCTGAATGAATCTTTCATTCAGGTAAATGCTTGCTTATAGCAAAGTATTCTTTGTTATAAGCAAATTGTGTAAAAAAAAAAAAAAAAAAAAAAAATACTGATCACTTCCCCAAAGTAGTACAATATTACTATGATAACATTGTACTCCTTTGGTCATAGTGAAATATGAAAACAAATCTTAAAAAAAGAGGAAAAAAATGTAATAATGAAAAATAATTAAAAAAAAAAAAAAAAAAACATTTTCGTACTGTCACCAGTCAGTGTACCTGATCACCGCCATGCTAGTTATATGCGGATGCTATACTGCACTGGTAACCGTATGTAAAAAAAAAAAAAAAAAAAAAAGTGAATATCCTTTTTTTTTAATTCATTTTTCCCAAAAATTAGAACTTCAAAAAACTCGCCATGCCTCTTATGAAATACGTCGGACTGTTTACTTTGCAAAAAGGGGTAATTTGGGGGATATCTGTACCGTTCTGACATTTTGGGGGATATCTGTACTGTTCTGACATTCTTGGACCTCAAGAAATTAGATTGGCTGTCAGTACATCAGGATTCATCACATTGCAGATATATCCCATAGTTTGTGAATTCTAACTTTCCTACAGACTAAATAATACATCCTAATTTTGGGTTATTTTCACCAAAGAAATGAGGCAGAATACATCTTGGCCTAAATTTATGAAGAACAATTTATTTGCGAACTTTCATAACAGAAACAAAGAAAACCGTTTGATTTTTCTTTTCAATATTTTTTTTTTTTGTTAATTTAGCAAAAAAATAAAAACCCTAGTGGTGATTAAATACCACCAAAAGAAAGCTCCAGTTGTGTGAACAAAATGATAAAATTTTAGTTTGGGTACAGTGTTGTATGAAAGCGCAATTGTCATTCAAAGTGTGGGAACGCTGAAACCTGAAAATTGGCCTGGACAGGAAGGGGGTAAAAGTGCCCCGTATGGAAGTGGTTAAAGCTTTGGAGTTTTTTTTTAATGAAGCTTCCAGCCTATATGAGAGCACACTGTCTTAGCACTCTGATTACAATTGTTTACTGATCATCAGTAGGGGCCAGAGAGGGTAACCTGTGAGCTTAGAACAGTCGTAGTGGTCACCCCACTACTCACATATCTATCATTCTCTACCACAATTTTGATTTTCAATACTAGACACCTCTTCCACGTCAAAGCCCTACAAAGCAATCTCATATAGTGAGTTAAAAGGTTCAGGCCATTAATTGTATCCAAAGTCCCTTTACTATGGAAACAATAGGTTTGATTCGCTAAAGGCAGGTAGACTGTGCACGTTGCAAAGTGCAATTGCACTCTGCAGGTGCACTTGCTCCAGCGCTCAGTAAATAAGCAGAAGCTCCGCTGACTTTTACCATCCAGTCGTGTAAGCAAAAAATGTTTTGTTTTTTTTTTTTTTTTTTTTTTTTT